CCGGATGGACCACTAATGCTGCTTGGGAGCGCGTGTACCTGAGTACATGCTTGTTTGTGTATCAACCAATCAGTGATTCGCTTTGAAATGAAAATCGTTCACGCGTCCACGTGACAACCTTCCCGGACAGTTATTGCTTGCTCACATGTGCTGAGTGGAGTGGACTACTTTACGCTTGCTACTAAAGCTTTCCTACTGCCATACCGCTGTTCTCATTCCGCTTGGATCTAACAATTTCCATCCCCTTTTTATTCACAAGCCGGACAGAAGATTGACGTGTGTTTTCAACTCGCTCTGCACCGTTGCTTCGCGAACTCTACCAATCACCCCATTGCACCATCATGCAGCTCTAAATCGATCAATAGGTAGTTGATAGAATGCATACTACACTCATCATTTGTCCCAAATGGGAATCGGCTGCCTGTTTAGTACATTATCCACTCCAACTAAACTTAAACTTTCCGAATCTGGGTAGTGACTTTGCTAACCCAGATTCAACTAAATGTATTGGGTACTTCAGGTGACTAGATACCGACCTGATCTAACCGCATGATGTGCTGTGCTTGCTTGTACGCCTTCAGCTCCGCTGACGTACAAGAGCAATATAAAGCCCGGTTGTCAACAAATACCTTGTACTCCTCCAAACCACCGTCATTCTTGGCATATCACTGACTCTTGCCTTCCGGGTAGCTCCTTCTTGTACGCTTTCTCCTATCCATACGGATCACATGCGTATTTAAACCATAGTAGCACGTGATTTGTGTGCTATGGTTTTCCAATTATCCGTGCCATGCAAGTTGGTGCATTGTGATGGATCTGATTGACCTACCTTTCCACTTACCCACAGACTGCTTGCATCAGTAAAGACCCAAATGTCCCAACTTCAGTTTTCGGTTCACTCTGGAGTTGTTTCTTTCAGCCCTTCATTGGGCACAGAAATGCCGAGGAGACCCCGAGGGACACATCAACCATACGATTCCGATATCTACCAGATACCTGACTAAGTCCATTTAAGTCTCTTTACCATTTCCTTCACTACATACACTTATCCAGCCTCATGCACCGCTAGTGACGACTCTGTTAGCGGTGGAACCCATGCCAGCACGTTCACCACTAGAGCTACAATATCTTTTGTCTGAACAACCGGGCATTTTGCGGTGATATTTGCCCCACACTGGCGGTGAGAACTGCATCTTATTGATCCTCTCATTCATCATCTTGTAACAGCGGAGTCACTCGTTAATCAAGCAATACCACTTCTGTGATAGATTCAGCGACTGTTTCCAATGGTGTAAACTAAAACTACTATTGGTAGTCCGATACGTCCTACAAGGCTATTCGTGAAGCGTGCATGTCACATTTCCTTTTGATCTTGCATAGCAACGGCTGTAGGTAACCCCCTTTTGTGCATCACGGTTGTACAAGTTATCCAATGTTAATTTCAATCTAGGAACTAGCGTATTGGTCACCTGCAGAAGGTACTTGACGGCTTTGATCCCTATGTCCCTTTCCCCATAACACGCAAGACCCTTGTGCGTCTCCAAGTCAACTGCGCTGACACGGTTGACGGAAGTGCGGACTTGGTGCGCTATCGATAGCAGGACTTCCGTACACAAAGAATGGCCTTGGGCTGAGTCAACTGCCTCTTTAGTAAATTCCAAATGTATCTGGAGTTTATGGTGGATTCTGCCGATGGCTGCATGATGGCGTACCAGATGTTGTGTTGTTCCCATCATGTGTACTAGAGTTCCCTAAACTACGGCCCCGCAGGCCTGATCCAGCCAGCGACGTCATTTCATCCAGCCGCCGACTGTGCCACAATTTGTTTGGTAGGGCGTTGGAACACGAGATTTTGCGATGCAGTTTATAGTTGACATTGCATGTCGTGCTTCCCGTGACCTTATAATGCGTAAACACCAGCGTGAGCCAGCTCAGAATTGTTACAGGTGGCGCCGTACTTCCGTGCTATTAGTCCCTCACATTGTTGGAGTTTTCATATGAGTGCTGAGGCATGAACCCAATTCACCCAAACACACTGCCGTGTTTTTGTTTATCTCACGGACTGTACCGAAACGTTCTGTACGTCTGCTCCCTTGAAGTGTGCGTGTCATGTATGACAACATTGTTTTATGGCTATTCATTTTGGGGCTATATTCGCTAGCTATTTGAAAAAGAATGCAAGTCCTTAGTGCGGAAGTGCACAGAAAATGCAAATTATTAAGGTTCGTACAGTTTGATGTGGCAAAAGGTATCCAGTTCCAGCACTGTTTGTTGATATGGCTCTGGTGTAAACACTTTGCTTAAGCTTCCCAAGGACCTCCAAGTGCGTCCATAGGACAACCACAGGACTCTTGTGCATACAGAGGGACCATGGGTGGCTTGTGCGGCACCATCCACAGTGCCACGCACACACCCGATATCCAGTGTAAACCCGAAGAAATAAGACTGGGAGGCATGTGGAGGAGAGGCACGTTTCAACAACGGAGCCGGCCCACACTCCTGCAACAAGCAGAGCAGGAGCCTAAATGGGGAAATCATGCGTACCAGACGTACAAAAGACGGTGACTGGGCAGTGACCCATTCCACTATTGATGCATTGAACCACTCTTTTAGCCTAGCACCTTCACGAGGACCGTACACCCCCTACCATCCAGCAACGACCAAATGTCTCCTGGAGCCAGTATTGACGAGGTGGATAGTGATACATAGGTAGGCACCTTGCCAACATTCACATCAAGCGCAGCCACACCGAAGATATCAATCGACAACAAATCCCTGAAATGCAAGAAACTAAACAGGCAGGCACATGTGCAGACCAAATGCACCGATGATGTCGCACACGTATTACATCAACCTTCTTATTGGCGCGGATTTGTAAATTGAATCGGAAGCAGCTAACTTACCAAACGCTGTGCTGATGATGACTTCATGTTTAGCTTACTCGTCTTCTCTTGGAAGATGGTCCGATGTGGCGACGCTGGTGGCTTACTAAGCCAGCTTGGCTCAGGCAATCGCGACCGCATGGGCTACAGTACAATGTGATGGAGGCTGATGGGATTTCCACCATAGGCGCCTGTCACTCCCTCAACCGACGGTACTTTTCCGTATGCAGTAGTGCTTTCTCCTACACATAGGCAACTGTCCCCTTTACATACTTTACCATCGACTAGGATCCACTGTCATCGCTTCCCAGCACCTGAAATCAAGAGTACTTCTTGATAAACTCACCTTGATCATATTCTGGTAACGTAACTTCGGTTTCCCACATGCCACTTCCATGCTCGTGGCTGGCCATTAAGCAGCTATTTCGGTATCCGGGTCGAATCCGTGCGGCGAACATGCCCGAGCCACCTCAGGTGCCTCAGCAGAAGTATGCAGTCCAGTGCATATATGCCACTGCTTCGGAGCAAGGCGTCTACAGCTCCGTCACCCCAGCCGATGCATAGAATACGTCACAGACACTGTTGATGGGTGCGCTCCAGATAACAGACATCCTACCGATAAAGTGTCCAGGTTTCGCTGCCGTATAGAAGAACGGACAGCACCATAGACTTGTAAACCATCACTTCCTCCCGGCAAAGAGCTGGTGGTTGTGCCACACACTTTTTTCCGCTTGTCAAATGCGGCAGCTGCCTTCGATACCATCGTGCACAGTTCGCTCGTCATCCGCTGGTCGGTAGACATTACGCTACCTAGATAGTAAAGTCTCGAAGTGAATTCCAACACGTCGTTACCAATGTAGATTTGCTGCAGGCCCATGGATTCTACTGGAGTAGGCATGCACTTCTGCTATTGCTATCATTACTATTACTACGATATATATTACTACTTAGTAGTGTAACTCTTTATGACTCTACCCCTTCCTCGAACAGCTGTGTAATGTCGTCAGGATCACTTTATTTTTGCTACGCCATCCATGTAACGCTTTTAAACTGCTATTGAATCAATACTACTGAACAACATAAATTAGGTGCTGTACATAATTCTAATCCCAGAAATCCGTGCGATAAGTATTCATTTCTGTTTTATCGAAGGCACAATATAAAACTTCCCCACACTAAATTCATTCGCCGTGACACAACTCTCAACACGTTCATCTGCTAGACCATATAAAGTGAGAACTTCCTAAGCTGTACTGTATCATCGTTTCCTTATCCTCCTATAGTTTATCTTTTCCGGTGATTTCATGGTCTTGACTGTACTTGCGTAGATTGCCAACCGATTCACTGGTGTTCCGTTGGTTCCACTAACCAACTTGAGCCGCCTACCTTGTTTACACTGTATGGTTTCCATGGTCGGAGACCTGCTACCCTGGTAAGCACTATTTGCGGCTAGTACGTCATGTTACATGAAGTCTCAAAGTGACCAAGCAACAAATAGCGGAAAAACAGGAGGCAATTTATATATGGCACAAAGTCGCTCAAGATGGAGCCCATTAGATAGGGTAATTTGGCGGTTACAATCGCAGTCTGATTTGGCAGCAGCTAAGCCATTGCTTTTACCTGTCAGCCTTCGCTTCTGCAAGATTTACCTTTCTTTCTACCAGTTACTTTTCTATCTACCTTTCATTAACGTATTTACTCATTTAATTTGGTCATCGTCATTATTATTATTATTATTATTATTATTATGGAGCGATCCAGGGCACCTAGACTCATTGCTCTTCGGCATTCGAATTTCAGCCTGCCTGACAACTGAACTGCACTTCTTTATCTATAACCGTTTCCCACATTGATCATTCGTGCTTAGTAAAATATCTCAGTACTGAAGGACAATTCTCACCTTCAGTGTAGCTTGCGCTGTAGTGAGATATTCCTTGCAGTACTGGATTTTGTTTCTTTTATAGCTCGATACCCAGATTACCTGCTCTGTTGTTCTTTCTCGACAACACAATTGTTCGACTTCGCTATTTTCTCCTATGCACATAGCTTAAACGCAAATTGTATCCATTGTTTATGCTGCACTCACGCTCTCGCTCTCTCTCCATTTGCCCCACTCACCGCATTTTCCAAGTGATCTCTGCTCATTTCCCTGATCCGCTCGTTTCTCTGAGCAGCACAAGCTGCCTCGCGTTCTGCAACCATGCGATTCGCTGCGTTTCGAGCACGAACCTCCTCTAATTCTGCCAGTTTGGCTTCCTCCTGCTCTCGTCTGTGCCGTTGTATGGTCTCCAGTCGTTGTGCTTCTATCTCTGCGATTATCTTGGCTGTTGCTTTGGCTTTCTCACTTTCCTTAAGTCGCTCCGCTTCCTCTCTTTGTGCGATCACTCGCGCAATGCGCTCCTCTTCGTCGTCTTTTTTCTGTTTCATTTGTTCGGACAAAGAGTTACGAATCCTCTCCATTTCGGCTTCTCGAGCTCTGCATAACGGAAGGAAGAACTTTACGGCATTTATTTGGCTCTAAGGACTAACACGTACCTACGTTATCAATTGTCTGCTTCATCAATGTGCTTCTGGTTGCAGCATCTTAACATTTGCATTGGGTAGGTGTGGTATGTCTGATACATAACTTTGCATGATAGCTGCCTCTACCTAAGGCAACTACTTTTATACAACATAATCTTCCGGTTAGATGTGGAACTGTTCCTAGCCCATGATCTATTAACTTCTTACCAGCAAAAGTATCCACCAAATGTGTACTTATTGGATATAAATACAACAAAGGCGAAGACCAGCAAGAATTTTCACGGCTGTAGCGTTGTATCGCTTCCATGCTACCCGCCTGTCATCGATTCTCTTTGGTGTTTGCTCCACCATTTTTAATTACCTTTCGGAGTGAAAGTCATAAATAACCCCTTTGGGAATAAGCTGATTACAGGCGAGGCATCCAAACATTTACTGCATTTAAAAAACATAATCTATGAATATAGTCTGAGGCGCTGGCGTTTCCACCCCCCCAACAGCTATCTAATGGCTACCGAATCTAAGAGCCGTCCTGGTGATTGATTACTTTGGATATTTCAGTAGCTTTATTCTGTCGACTGTGCTGTACATCTGGAATTTATTAGCCTGTAGTCTAGTTATATTTCAATTTCGAAGGCCTTAGGTTTTCATGTTTAGGTGAAATCGAAGTGAAACTGCATATCGGTCACTGTTTTCTCTTTGAATATGTTTTTCTCAACCGAGATGCTGATGCATGACTGTCTACCTATAGATTGGTTACATCTCTGTTACGTCTAAAGCTCTCTCTTTGTTGTTCCTATAAAGGGTCAGTAAAGCACGCAACACCGAAGCTGCACTCTGCTAGAAGTGGCATTGCACAAGATGCAATCAAGCGTTTTGTCTACCAACACTTGTTGTTTTCACAGAGACATGAATGCCTTCCGACTTGACTGACAGCACTAGTCTGGCTGCCATCCAAATGTAGTGAAGTCAGTATTGCCAAATGAAAATGCGCAGACGATGCAGAACATGATTTTAAGCCTACATGTCTTAAGCAGTTCCCCGTTTTCAGTACACCTATGCCCAGCCGTAACTATGTACTTGTCTTGTGAAAGTAACGTGTCACCAACGAGGCTGCATGTTTGCGAGTTCAACTACACAGCATAGTGGAAACTCAAGCGGGCAACTTGGCAAAGAAACGAAAACGTGCGTGTCACTGCTGCTGGCCGTCAACCATATCGTGCATGCTCCAGAGTTAGGCGATTAGTGCCTTACTGGACTCCATCTTTGAAGACTAGACGGACGACCATCGGCACTTAGTTTCGCCTAAAACGACTTCGTTTCCTGCTTCTACCTTGATGCGGAAACATTGACAATTCCACGTTTAAAGTTTGGCTCTACTAAAGGTGTTACCGTCTATAATCCTGTTAATGAGGCCGCTTTGTATTACATTGCTATACGTGTATCGTGTTTAAAGTGCGATGGAGTATTGGATTCCCCATGGTGCTTGAGGTACTTGCTTTCTTATAGATCGTATGAGTCGCACTGACCCATCAAGGAGTATATTGCTTCTCACTTCTTTAGGGGGCATTTTGCAACACTTGCTAGTGTGGTTCTACAAACTTCCTAGTTAGAAACGACCTGGCCATGATGGTAACCGGAGACCTTTCGTGAGGTGCATTGTAAAGGCAGCAGTTGACCTAAACCGGACGGATTACTTATTTCGTTACACTATGGAAAAGAACGGCGACACTTTCGGTGGATAGCTGATTACCACGTAAATGCTTTTCTTGTTAGGGGGCTTACTCGAAAAGTTCTCTTTCCTTGAGCATTCGAAGAGTCATCATTTTCTTTTTGGCAGCGGCGAATATACGACGTTTCTCATCTTCCTCCTTTGAAAATGAACATCCCAATGAAACAAGACATTGGTATGAAAGTTCGCAACTATCCACCCTCCAATGTACTTTGATACGGACTGTTGAATATTATGGTGATGTACCAATAGGATGAAATTTCTAGGACCTCAAAATTAAGTTCGTTGTTGGGTAAGTTTGTTATACTAAAACAAGCCATTGTTCGGAGTAACGATACGGAAAAATTACATACTTTCTACTTATTTATTCACCATATCAAATATTGTGTTGTAATGCTACGCTAGGTTCTGCGCTTTATTATTTTTAAAACGCTCTTTTCTTCCAGCGTTTTGACACACATGTAATAGGTAAAAGGGCAGAAACGCTCAGATAAATTCTACTTTTCTCAACATTCCATTATCCTGGCGTTCGTTAAAATGACGCATCACATATCATTCCTCGGTCTATTTCGTAGTTACTGGGCTCACGCTTACATGTTAATGTCACGATGAGTAATTGACTGTCTGTTCGTAGACATCATAAATTAATTGCTCATGGGAAGTGTGCTGGTCATCATATCCGTAGTTTAGACAGAGCAACATGGGTTAACTAAAAAGACTATCCCTGCATTTATGTTATACATTTTGCCGGCCAATTTTTAACGCCTAGTCGTCTTTAGTGGTTCACTGACTCATTTCGTTCGCACTGTCTAGTTGTGACTTAGTTGGATCACCGAGCTGCTACAAAACAATCTGAAAGTCGAGATATTTTGGTGATTAAGGAAAACGAACGCGAAGATCTCATTCAACAACAGACTGTGTGTTTACTGGAACTTCGATTCTTCTGCCACAGGTCGAGATTAGAATATTACGAAATTACTCTCACCTCTTCTTTCAGTCTCTCTATCGTCCGTATTTGTTCGTTGTCTTCTATCTGTTCCAGATAGAACTTGCGCAATTCGGCTGCCTGTTGCTTGTCAGTTTGCATCAGGCGCTCTCTCTCCTGCTGATCTTGGATGAGGAGTCGCTTCAGCTGCTCTCCCTCAAGCAGCATTTCTTCATGCTCCTTCTTCTGATTTTCTTCCCGTTCCTTTATCCTATGATTCAAATGACATATCTTTAATTATTTCCATGAGGAAGAAATGAAAATTTTCTGATTCTGCGATTGTCAAGAACGCTTCTCTACACATCTTGCCTCTACATGTAAATTGAAACAGGCATTTTGGCTTCGAAGCAAAAGATTTATTAAATTCAAACACGTGGGCCGTGATTTGTGCAGTGGCCGACCTTCAAATTAATTGCAAATTGTATATGCTTCGATGTTGAAAAAATTTTCAAGTACTTTATTTCTAGGATGTCTGCGGGTTTTGAGAACTGGGCAAGTGTACATAATATTAGATCATCATAATCCGTATCGACCTTGCTTTGCTCATTTGAATGTCCTCATTGTAGAGTCAGTCTATTAAATGAAAAAATTAGGGTCAAATGATTCCTTGCAGATACAGTCATTGGTGCTTCACTTCCACAATCACGAGCAACAATTAAGGTAACTAACTACATCAAGCGGAAGTCGGTCGTTAATTTTACGAGAAAATCTTGTGAAGAAGAGCCTTGGCACCCACGGAGAGCAGACTCTTGTAGGCGCAGTCCACTCAGTCATATCATCTCCAAATGCTGGTTCAAGTCAGTCTCTGCTTTTCGTTTTCAGAAAGCGGTTTCAGTTGTCCCGGTCCTTCGGCTTGTAGCTCATTACAAGGCAAATAATTTGCAGTGTGTGAAAAATCAAATACCTGACAAGCCTTAGGATGATCATGGTGAAGATTACAAGACCCTGACTAAGCAAACATAGGAAAATGTACTTGCTACCTGAATCACTAGGAATCCTTCATTAGTACATATGTACTTACTTCTGTCTCAGGTTAAAATTGCGTCCCATGTCTACACTGAGGATAACGCCTGTAGCGTGTAGTGAACGTGTAGCCTTCACGCTTTCATTATATCGCGACAATGAATTTCATTCCTGTTTGCATCTTCAGACCTTCCATTCGTTTTACTGAAGGTACTTAAGGTTCATTTTCGATTTTTTATGATTCGTGCGGTTCCTCGCTTCGTGCTTCACTCAAGGTCATCCACACACACGTGACGTGCGTGCTCCTGGATCCTTTGGATTATGCCCCTCTATCATGAATTGTTAGCTAACTGCCTCCTTTTACTCATAATTAATACAAATTCCCCCTTGCGGATTTCATAAAGATGCTATGTAGATTCATATCTGCTGTAACCGGAAAGTCTTGACGTCAGAAGGCCAACCGCGGTCATCTGCATGGCAGTGGAGCATGGGTCGGGTTACGTTGCAGGTAGCTAACAACTCATGTTGGTCATATGCCGTCCCCCATGGCTCAGTGGCTTCAGCTGCGGACTAGTTGGCGCAAGCCACTAGCAGTCATGGATACGATCCTCGGAAGAGGACCGAAGGATGCGCACCACTGAAGATCCCCAAGAGGGCAAAACGGCCGTCTGGGGCTTTATTGGAATGGTAGATGGTTAAGCTGAGTTGTCGGCTGATTGCGACGAAGTTAAAATATTTGCCAAAGTCCTTTTATTCATAAGTATTCCCTTCTATACTCTCTCCATATTCCCACACCGCCGTCAATGTACGCTCATTCGAACCGGATTTACCAGCCCTACACAGTGACCCATTATACGTGGAAGTATCTTCTACGATTAAAGTCCGTGCCATCCCTACCCGTTTTCAAGGTCATCCGTGCTTAAGCGCAAGCGGATAACTCAACCACCGTGGGCCGATTGCCTTTCGGTGTGACACCATTCGATACACATTTTCAAGCCAGTCCGAAAAGCGTAAGCTTATTCCAATCCGGCGTTTCCCAACGCAGCTACGAAATAATTTGTGACGTGTCAATCTGTGTTCAGCGTTGTGTTCAGGTTTAGTCAGCAGGTTCCAGTCACTCGCCATTTCTTGTGACCTTGTCAACCAGTTCGTCTGCATAACCCAGCAAACGGGTCATGTGACCACGCCGATCGCTCATTTGAACTTGCAACCACAACGCTCGCTTGGCCGATGTGCGCCGCGCTCAAAACTGGAAACGTACGGAACGCCAACCAAACCACTGGGTCAGGTAACGACACCACGTTGAATGGCAGAAAAGCGCATCCCAATTGGCTCCAAACAAAAGGTATTTTCGGGTTAGGAGAATGTCATCAATTAGGTACACTAGGTTTGGCGTGCTTGCACTGTTTGGAATGGTATCATCCGAAATGCGCAAATGTGTCCCAACAACAGGTACGAGAGAGCAATAGCTCAAAGATGCTCTTTTGTTCTGTGCTGCGTGTTCGACCATCCCACTCGTTAAGTGCTTGCTTATCCTAGTCCAGAAGTGCGACCGGTTAATCGTAGAAGCCCAGCAGAAGATGAACGATAGGATTACTTTAATTGAAGCGAGTATGCGCCAGGAAAGCGTCGCGACTTCTAAGCAACGGAATGCTTTAAATTCTGCTTCCCCTGCACCGCACTCAGCCACATACCCATTTCCGTTGTCTTCTCCAACTTTGGCAGAACACCGGATGAAAACTGACCGTACCTACGAGGGTCAAACTGTACTTATGGCAGCAAAAATCAGGAACCACTCAAAACCACTGGTTAAGCAAATTCCCGTAGACCTGACATCTAGTATTAACAAGGTTGAAGCAGCGGAACACCAACCCTCGGTACCTGTAGCTCAAATGTCTCCTGTCGAGACAAAGTCTCCCGGTACCTCAGTTACATATGCAAACATTGCTGCAATGGTCAGCCGGGTGGCCGCCGTTTCAGCCTCTTCTGTTGTAAACACTATTAACGCGAATAGAGGGACAAACAGCAAAGAAATAACACTTGTCGGCAGGTCAGGACAAAAGGTTACCCCACCTTATAGAGCAACAGAAATGGATCCAACAATTGTGCCCGGACTGTTGTATGCTCAAATGTCCCTTAATCTATCGCCGTCACCTTGCGCGATAGGTTACCGGACGGCGTGAAGATTAGTGTCAAATCAAACGCGATAAACTTATTACGAATTACGCATCATCCGAACTCGCCACACTATGGAGAATCCAGACTTATTCGAGTAACACTAGAATCCTCCACCGACGTAGAAAGCGTTTTGCTCTCTGCAAGCTCGCTAAGACACGCATCCGGTGGGAGACGCATCTATTCTGATTTCCCTTAGAGCGCGCTACAATCAAAAAGCAACACCGAAGTGGGGCACATCAAACAAGGCCGTCTAAATACGATCTTCATACATAGCGTGCCAGAACCTCCTTCTAACGATCTTCAAGAGACCGGAACTCATGATATATAGAACAGTGGCGGTTCATCCGTAAAACCTTTTTCTTGGATAATATTGTGGCGCGATCGTTCATCAGGATACCAATCTCAACAAAGTATAGAGGATGCGGCCCTAGAATCCTAAAACTTGTAGTTCAGCCAAAGCAAAAGCAACGGAAGTTTTGGATCGATGGCAGAGAAATTAAAAAGGTCTTCTTCTGAACTTCGGTTAAAGGGCGCAGAAGTTTTGCAAATTTCAAATATCAAAGAACCTGAAGCAGCAAAAGTACCGACGATGATACACGAGCTTAACTTGACTGCTGCTTTACTTGACTCTGACGTAGGTCTAAGCCAAGATTGCGACGCACCTTCGCGCAGTCAAATTCCAGACGAGGTGTCATTATCTCACACAAAAAACGAGTAACTGCCGACCTCCCATCAGTCGGTATTCTCCCGCACTTGACCCCTTCACTCCTCTGGGGGGCTTCTAGAGATAGCGAAACTGGCCTGCTTGTATACGAATGCCCAGGGTCTTTTTAATAAACTTCCGAAATGAAAGATCGCCAAGCTTCCGGGTCATATGATGTCATTGGTATCACCGAGACGTGGTTGCACACGGGAATGACGGACGCTGAAGCGTCGCTACCGGCCATGTCGCTGATCCGGGACAATACGCTGACAAAAGGAGGAAGGGTAATCCTGTATTACCGAAGCGACTTACAGTGCGAAGCCGTTGAGGATTCAGACTCTCAGTTCCCCGACTCTTTTTGGTGCCGCTTACGGTTAAAAGGCAGGGACGCTTGCCTTATTGTTCTGGTGTACCGCACCCCTAACTCTACGCCCGAAAATGTGCCACTTAGCGACTGCTTTAAGATGCAGTTTACAACGAAAGTACACTCACATTCTTATCATGGGTGATTTCAACGTACATTGTTTAGAAACTCCTGCTACGATCGGAAAACAATCCAAAGCCGATCTACAAGATCTCGTAACCACTGTTCCTCTTTACCATCACGTAACTGCCCAATCGGTTCAGAACAGGTAACAGGCCCTCTGTGCTGGATCTTTTGCTTACCACGTAGTCATCAGTTTCAACTTCGTGTGATATGAGGAACATGGGAATGAAAACGATGTGACTGTGCGAACCATCACAAGCTACGATCCATTAGCCCAGTTCGTTAGCGTTACAAGTTGGTCGTTCCTTGCCGAAGAACCCCCGGAATTCGCCTAGCTAGGGTTCGTCAATAAATTCAGTCAGCTGCTTGCAGAGGCTTCAAAGATAACTTTTCAAGGGGTTTAAGTCAGTTTTTGTCGTTAGGAACATAACTCGAAAAGCGATGACAGTAGGTAACGCAGCATGGTGAGTGTACAGAGAAGCTCCAGCACCAGAAACTTCGGACAACTACTTAGTCCAACGTAACCACTGCACTCAACTGTTAAGAAAAAACAACGCCGCATATCAGCAGAACATCACTAAAACCTTCAGTGCTAACCACAAATTGCTGTACAAACACTGCATTAGCCTACGAAAGGTGAGGCAATGATTTCCTTCACTCAGGACGGCCAATGACCTAACAAGAACGGCTGTGGAAGCAGCAAATGCGCTGCGGATGTAATAAGCCCCTCGTTTCAGAGGATCTTGCCACCAAGCGATATTCCAACCTTTGCCGTCTCTCCGTCAGGACTAACCCAATCATTTTCATTGCGGAGGCAGTATTGGAATTGCTGACGTCTTTATGCAAAAACAGGTACCTGGGTGTCGATACCTTTCGTCCA